TGAGGTGTCAGTCAGTCGATGCCGCACGATCGTTAGTCAGACATTAAAGTATCAGCCACCACAACTAGATTGCTGCGTCATTAACTATTATATCAAGTTCCTAACGTTTTGTAGTTCGAACCTATTTTAGGACCGACTTAGTGAAATACAAGCCTCCACTGTGAAACCACTACATAACAATATCAGAGATAGAGCGTGTGTAAATATAAAAAGTGAACATAGAAGTCAACACTTAAAGGCGACAGTCTGTTTCATGCTAGATGCAATCGTCAGGTTCCTGACGATTGCATCTAGCATGAAACAGACTGTCGCCTTTAAGTGTTGACTTCTATGTTCAATTTTATATTTATATATATATATGTGCATATGTGTGTGTGTGTGTACGTGTGTGAATTAGTGTGTAAAAATTTCAGATAGAGTATATCTGTAAAAGGACAATTTACATATATATAAATATATATCATTTAAATATATATGGCAAATATTATCTGTCACTTCATTACACGTGACACGTATTTAACCAATAAGAAATTACCAAACACAACATGCCATTAATCTGCGTCTCTTTCCTTTTTAACATTTTTTTATCATTTCAAACTTGATTTCAAGCGAAGCTTTAGTAAAGTGAAACATGTTAGATTAAGAGCTGTTTTCTACTTGTTCTTTTTCCTATCATTTTGTCGAATTCCTATCCATACTCGATATATATATATATATATATATATATAAACATGTTATACAAATCACTACAAAAATAGCCATTTTGTTTCAACACTTCTGGCGTCTTATCAAAGGATGATGTTGAATATTTTCTCTACTTTCTATTAAGCATTGTTTTATGAATAGTATTTTTGGTTATTGGATTGTATTCCGTATACACCAATCCTATACTTGAGAAACAGCCAGACAAACAGAAAAACCGAGATACACCGAAAGAAGTAACTGAGACACATAAGTATTGCTATTTCAATGGCGAAACATATGAGGTTGTGTTTGGAAGCTTGAGAAACGATATACTAAGTAGATTTAATCTCCTGTATGATTATGTGGAATTGGGTGCATGTTTTATTATTCTCGGCCATCCCTCTTAGCCAGGCCAAGAACTTTTCATTACCTCTTCATCCATGCTCCCAAACATCTATCTGTAACTATTTTTATTTGTATTTTTCTCTCTTTTATATTTCCTTTTCTCTTTCCTTTCTTTTCCTTTCCTTCATTCTCCTTACGTTCGCCCACGTGCTTTTCCTTACGCTTCACCCTCTCCAACACTGGTTTAATTTTTTTTTTTTTTTTTATCTTTTTTTCTTTTTGCTTTCTTTCTTCTTGTGCGACTTCTGTTTATCCGGTCCGTGTGAATGTCAGCTTTTGGCACGCCGTTCAAATCAAGAAACTTTGGTGGCAATGTGATTGCTTTTTCTTCTTTTTTTTTTTTTTTTTTCTAATTTTACGATAAATTTAGACTCGATAACTAATCATGGTCAGACTGAACTGAAGTTGAGCCGGCACATCAAAATTCATCCCTAACCATCTAACTGACACCATTATCACTATTACGATGACAACAACGGCGGCTACCCATCCCAAGAGACGAAAATAGCTACAGTGGCTTATCTGATAAAGACGTCGCTATCCGAATCAATCATTTAATGTAAAAAGCTCACAAACTGCTTGTGCGTCTATGTCCGCTCAAAACTGAAAATATATATCAAGTTGGTTGTCTGTCCGTGTATGTATCAGGTCTGAGTGCTACATGTATTATGTAAACTACCTGCCGCATTATCGGGTTATCGGCGATTAAACCAGTTCCTTCATTAGACCTTTCTGGCGAGAAGGGTACCTGGGTACCCCGCAAGATTAAAAATAATAGGCGGATGAATCTTCTCAGTGGATCGACGGCCATTTAGCGTACTGAGTATGGTAACGTCTTTATACGCGCATATAGGCAAATGGCAACCCACGATAATATCTTCAAAACCGGTTTGCCCCAAAGAAAAAACGGCAGTTGCTGCTTTATTCCGATCAGAGTCTGATCTACCTGTAACAGCTCGGGGAGGGGTAACATTGAATACTTCCAAAACTAACCTAGTAACGTTTTATCATCACCGAGGAGATCTTGAGTTTTCTCCATGATGAACGGTTATATTCTTAGTGTGGCTCGTTGCCTTGAACATCTATTGGGGCTTGAATTCCGCTCCAGAAATCAAGTATAAGATATCTGCAACCTATCGCTAAAGATGATGGAATATGGTCGCCTCCAGTCTAAATTGTTGGATATCTTCGGGTTACAGCAGTCCTACCAACCACTGCTACATGAATCTACATTGACTGGTCAGTGGCTAAAGCAAACCCTGAGCACAAATCTTTAATTGAGAACAGGTAGAGGTGGAATCCTAAAGGACTGGACTTCTAGGGGTTCCCTGCAGACGAAAGTCCTTCTGACTTTTCTCAGGCCACTAGAAGAAACCCCGCTGAAGCGAAGATGGTAGGAATGAAGGCTTTTAACCCACGCCCACACCTTAATCCTTACTTTTGCAAAAGCCTCTAGCTCCAGCTGGGGATAGCAACACCGTTGGACACGACAAACAGCTGAATGAACGATTTATACAAATAGTATGTATAAGAAGGAAGATCGAATAAATGTAGTATTATCGGTATATTTCTGCAGGGTACCGATCATAATCCCGAATCTTTAAATCCCTAATGTCGAAATCCGGAAATTTATATTCCCAAAATTTGAAATCCCGAATTTATAAAATCCCAAAAGATCAGAATCCCGAAATTTAAAATCCTGAAAGATCAGAATCACGAAAAATAGTCTTTGGGAGAAATTGGAAAAAAAAATTGGAAATATCTTTATTTTTAAACATTTACAAAATAGCGTTTAGTGTTTTTACGTTTGAAACATTCAAAATTCATTTAAAAATATAAGAACAGAAAATGGCGATTAGGCGATGGGAAAATTTAGTAGGCAATGCTTATGTCGATGCTTATCGCATTATTGGAGAGTTTCAAAAGCAGCAGCAGCACGTAGAAAACGAATGTGAACTCATTCTTCGAGAAGAGTCTTGTCCAAAAAGAAAAAAAAATATGCGTTTTATCGTGATGAAAGGTTTAAAAATATAATTAACGATCGTGAAAACCGACCAGATTTTATGGACTAGATTAGGGCTCTTATAATCTTTCATTATAAATTATTCATATATTTTAGGTTTTTTTTTTTTTATAGTTTTTTAAATGAATTTTTAATATATCAAAAGTATAAGACTATTGAAACGATATTTTTAAATGTTTAGAAATTATTATGAGTTAAGTAATTAAGTTATTTCCGACATTTTATTTTTTTCATTTTCTCCCAAAGATTATTTTTCGGGATTATGGCCCTTCAGAATTTTAAATTTTGGGATTTTTATACATTCGGGATTTCAAATTTCGTGATTTTAAATTTCAGGATTTTAAGATTCGGGATTATAAGCCTAACCCATTTCTTCACATCCTAAAATAGGCATTAATGAATTGTCTTTTTTCTTCCTCTCTCTTTATATGCCGTAATCTTCATGACGTCAGCGGACATGACGCGCTAGAACCTCTTGTCCTTTGTTGCAATTACTACTCCAGCCAATCCATGTCCTGCTACCCATTTATACAATCTCGTTACATACTTTACACGATGTTTCCGTCTGTCTCACTTGACTTCATTATGCCATGTGAGTGTCAAATTCTCCATACCCACTTTTCTCATTACGTGTTCTACTATTTCTTCAACTATTTCTTTCTGATCTTAAATACAAATGTCCTTTTCGTGTCCATTCTCCATACAACTTCATTGTTTTTCGTCTCTTCACTGTCAACCACTTCGCTATCATCCTAGATTATTGTTGTGGATTCCGAGATGAATTCGGTCTCCAATGAAGAACAAACGCAATAATTAAATATAAGAAATAAAATGTATTTACAAAATCATACAAAGGGTAATACTGTTAGTAAATCCAGGAACACGGTTAGTAGCAAATACAGATAGATATATACAGTCTCGAAATAGGACTTCCTTAGAGTCTACGTGCTTGTAACTGACTTCTACAAGAGGTTACCTCACACTATCTCCGTTCGTATTTCTCTCTCTCTCTTTCCGACTACTCCGTCACTATCCGACTACCCTCAATGACTGTCTAACTCTGGGTATTTAACGGCAGCCGTCCAAGTAACACTGGTAGAGTCCACTTATATGAAAAAGGGTTGGACCCCAAAACAATTATGTAATGAGGCAGACCCCACAAGGTCAAGAGGAAAGACTTGGTCGAAAATTCAGAAGAGAAGCTCCGATCATCGGATTTAGACTTTTCTGATAATTTTCTATTGATTTCTAATTTGATATAACAAACCAGGAAATGTTCTTAAAGGTAGAGAATGCTTGCGCCCAGGTCGGGCTTCACCTAAATGTCGGAAAAACCGAAGCAGTGTCATATGGGATGTTTCCTTCAACAAAACCGGAGTCTAGAGCGGAAAAACCTACAAAAGGTGTGAGAGATTTCAGGTGTCATAGATAAGTAATGCCAACGAGCGATTGAAGTCAACCGGCCACTGCCACGAAGCGGACAGAGAAATCGTCTCATCTTTACGCTTATAGCATCCTTCTGGAAGCGTCTTCTCACGAAAATTGACTTTCGCAGACACCATAGCGTGAGACTCGGGTTTGGACATTGGGGATCTGCGGACAGTAATAGAGGAGCGAACAATATTGAAAGTGATTTCAATGGAGTTCCGACCAACCATAGGGAGGTCGAAGGATGGTGATGATGATGATGAATTTTACAGAAGACATCAACCGGTCAAAAGCTTCACCAGATTTTAAAATCCATCCTCATCAGATCCATAAAGGTGCGATTGTTCATGGTTACAGTTAGAGTCGACACTGTTCTATGGTTGCAGCACATGAACCTTTTTAAAAGCAGAAGAATCTCCTCTCGATGGAACCTCCACACGAATGCTGAGAATGGCTCGCAATGTATCTTGGAGGGACATTGTCACCAATACGGTTCCCTGTGGCACTCTCTCCCCAGGTCTCAGTAAAGACAAGAGGAGGTCGACTAAAACTTGCTGGACATTGCATACACCTTCCGAATGGTGATTTTCTCAGCGTAACTTTGATGTAGCGTCGAAAGTATAGGAAGCCAAGTGAGGATCGAACTCGTTATTCACTCGTAATTGATCTAGCGTAACAAGCTTGCTAACTATTTGTTATACCAGAACATTACCTATTCTATTGTAATAGACTCTCCCACACATAATAAGTAGTAGTAGTAGTAGCGGTCGCCAGTTGGGCTCAGTGGAGTTGAGTGAGTCAGTCGATGTCGGACATTGAAGTATCAACCATCACAACTAGATTTCTGTGTCATTAACTCTTATTTCAAGTACCTAACGTTTTGTACGTCGGACCCTTTTAGGACCGACTTAGCGAAATACAAGCCTCCACTGTGAAAACTACTCTACAACACTATTACACCACGTCGAAATGCCCCATATGAATGAGGAGGTATCAAAACGAATGGGACATGAAATCAGGGAAGACAGGCTACTCTTTCATAGATTGCCTGTACGATGACACATTGGACTACATTGTGAACTTAGAATTGCTATGCAAGATCGAGAATATTAGAGAAAAACTGTCTCCTCGGCTCAGACTTGTCCGGACTAACTGTCCATCTCCGTGTCATCTTCTTAGTGTCCACTTCTCAGTAGGATTAATTTCGACATTAGAAGTCTGGCAGATCTCGACTGTTCCAGTGGAAAACTAAAGTTTTTCTTCTAAGTATGAATGATTATGTCGAGATATAAAAGACGAAGGAAGCGCTGAAAGTGAATTAGGCGTACCGAGTTCACTTCCCGCTCGATTCTGTTTCGCTAATGCCCTTGGAAAAGGCAAGAATCCATATTCCTCCAGCTATAGGTTAAATAGCAAGGTAGACTGGGATTTCTTGTCGTGAGGTGGCAACCGATCTATGAGGAGAAAAACCGAATTCAAAAACCAACCTGAAGAGGGTTGTGCTCCGTCAGGTTATCCTACCCCCAACACACCACTGATGCTATGGCTATGAATGTGGGCGGTGTCTTTACAACCCTTATGGGTCACCACACACACACATACATAGACGCAGAAAAGCACATCCTCTCAGAAGTCTATTCCAAAGAAAACGACCTTGGAAAGAAATTGTCCGGGTGGATCTTCCTCCTTACAAATGGAATACTAAAGGAATGACTTTGTGTATGTGGCACAGCGAGTCTTAACTGTGAAGTTCTGAACTGGTGGAACTATTGATTGATCGATTTTTTTACGCCTTATCAACCTTTTGTTGGTTATTTAAAGCCAGAAATAAACTTCAACATCCGCAAAGCTTTTGCCTGGGATGTGTGTAACAAACTTCACAAGATTTAGCGCTCGAACCTTCCTCTTTAAAAAGATTTCGAAGGCTGACTGAACCAGTCCTACTGTCGGGATCAAAACTTGGACATTATCTGTTCGTTTTGAATGGATGGAGCATATATAAATCTGCTTAGAAAAATCTAAAACATCAGTTATGCTACGCTTAACACAATTTACGGAGAACTGAGACCAATCTCTCTTAAACTCAAACGATTGCAGTTTGCAGGCCACTGTCACAGAGGGAGGGGGTCGTCTTATCCTTACTTCTGTGACATCCTTCTCGAGGTATCTTCTCGCGAAAGTTAACTTTCTCCAGATACCATAACTCGGAACTCAGGGTTAGACATTGGGGATCTGGGGGCGGCAATGCAGGACCGATCAGTGTGAAAAGGGATTCTTAATGGAGTTCTGACCAACTACAGCGAGGTCGAAGGATAATGATGATGAAAGCCAGAAAATATTTTAGGTAGGGAGAAGTGAATTCATACTTTTTTCCAAGAGTACTTTTTGCAATGATACTAGCCCTGTAAAAAAACCCAAGAGCCACTTGTGGTAGAGGATTACATTGGGGAAGTCTTCAGAAGAAACCGGAAATCCAATCGAGAACAGGAAACAAGGGAAAAGCCGATGCTCCCGTTAAAAAAACCTAGAGGGAGTGTGAAACGAACGATAGGCAAACGTATTGAAAAATTGAGAAAGGAATAGGTAAATCAATAGTAAATAAAAGTTCAGAGTTTTAGGCAGAGTCGAAGTAGACTTTAGAAGGAAGCGGAAATCCACTTCTAAACAGGAAGCAAGGGATAAACCTCTACTCCTGTTCAAAAGACCAGGGAGGAATGCGCGTAACGAACCCAAACTGGAATTGGAATTCGACTCTCCGATTTTCAATTTCGAGCCGTTTAGCAATTAAACGACCAGCGCACCGAAGTTTACATCACCTGGTATTCCCAAGCGGTTATCCAACTAGGCATTGACCAAACTTAACGTTGCTTAGCTTCGGTGATCATACGAGAATCAGAGTTTCAACGTGATATAGCCGTGAGCTCTAATGGAACTAATGTATCTAGAACGTCATGAAAATAGCGGGACGCTTGCGACGTTTCGTCTCTGAGAACAGACAGACTATTCCATTTTTGGTATTTTAAACACTTTTTGAAGTGGAAGACATGTATCACATCGGAGTCCTTGATGGCTATCTCCTATTAACGAAAGCGTTTAGTCATGGGAACCGTTATTTTAAAAAAAAGAAAAGAAACCAACCGTTTATAAATTTAATTATGAACGCGGCCACAATGTATTGGCCGTATTTGGAAATACAGAATATGTCTGCTTTCAGCATCTTTTACTCGTCTACAATAGCATTTACAAACAATTATGTTATATATATATATATATGTGTGTGTGTGTGTGTCTGTGTGTGCGGCACCTTTGGAAAGTGCTTGAAAGTTACAAGTCACCATGACCGTGGGTTTGAGTGTGCTGGCATTGTTCAGATTGTTGATCACGCTAGATAACACACTCTCTCCCAGAAACTATAACTAAGGTCTGCTCAGCATAGTTGCAGTAGAAACTAAAGGTGGGCTCTGTGGGTGTTGAACACAACAAAAATGTGCCTCAGCGAGCGTCTGCAACAGAGGTTGGCTAGCCGCCCTAATAGACGGGTATCCCTGACTCGAATACAGTGGCCAGCTATTATATATATATATATATATATATATATATATATATATATATATATATATATAAATGGAATAAATTCTAAAGAGCCAGGAACTCTAGGTTTTAGCTTTATTACTAGCTTGGATTTTTTTCTTTGGACCAAAAATTTAAGGCACTTGACGATTTATTTCGCCCTGTTCGGATGTGTCAAGTTCTTTGTTTTTGCATTTTTTTTTCCTCGGGTACCAATGATAATTGTTGAAAGCTCCTGAAGAGTGGATTGAACAATTGCAATAGAGTTAATCTCCAAAAGAGCTAAATATAACATAATTCAGCTAAGAGCCAAATTATATATATATATATATTTGTATGTATGTATATATGCATATGTGTGTGTGTGTTCATGTGTGTGTGCATGTGTGTGTGCGTATGTGTATGTGTGTGTCTGTGTGTGTGTACGGGGTGTCCCCACAAAATGGACATAATTTAAAATGTGTATATTGTCTGAGTAAATACATGTTTTAGGCAACCGACATATGTTTTTATGGACATTTTATTTTTGGTGTCAGGAACCTCCCCCAAAGTCTTTTGGGATTGTATCTTGGATTGTGCATTTAGCAGCGTCTACCGTAGAGAGAGAGAGAGACAGACAGACAGAGAGACAGAGACAGAGAGACACAGAGAGAATAATTTATGAAGCAAATGTAAGAGATACAAATAGCCAGACCAAAATATGCGTAGGATGTACTGAAGGCAGCTACATGAAGAGATGGTATAATCAAAAGTCATCATTCAAGCTAGAAAGACTTAGGAATTCTACCAGACTTGCCAGCCATGTATGGAAATTAAAAGAAAAAAATAACAAAAATCCGATTGTAAACTGGAAAATATTACAAACGCGAAACCTTAAAAAAATCATCTTGATATCTGCCAATCTTTGCCAGAAAGAAAAGTTAACAGTAATAACATTTTCAAACCAGAAAAACCTTCTGAATGGGGAGATCAGAAAATAATGCCCAAATGCATACGCACAAAAATATTCCTTTTAAGTTCATATGAACCAGGATGAAAGTATGTACATTTCATATAACTCCCCACGCCTCCGATACAATTTCAATACCCTACCTTTTCTCCTATATATGAAGAAATATAGTCTTAAGATGTGCTATATTTATGGGATAAAGTGCTCAATATCAGAGATAGAGCGTATGTAAATATAAAAGTGAACATTGAAGTCAACAGTTAGCCTCTAAGTGCTGACTTCAAAGTTCACTATATATATATATATATATATATATATATATATATATATATATATATATATATATATATCAGCCTGAATAAACAGAGCATTTGTTTAAATACGTGTATCTATAAATAACAACGTTAAACATAAAAATGTCTTTAATAAATAAATTGTCGGACCTTGTCCATTTCTTAACATATATATATATATATATATATATATATATATATATATATATATATATATATATATATATATTTAATTTAACCGAGGTGCAATTGAAATGCACCGAAACGAAGTTGCATCTTTGTAGTGAGTAAACTGTTTTTTGTCTATATGATAAAATTATAATAAATAATTATCGCTCTACTATCGGCATCGAGCCCTTATATATATATATATATATATATATATATATATATATATATATATATATATATATATATATATATATATACACACATATATATATATATATATACATACACACATATATATATATATATATATATATATATATATATATATATATTCTTAGTACTGAACCTTATTTTTAGTGTACAACTATTTGAGTTGCTATCTCTGTTTTTGTTTTTTTTTGTTTTTTTATTAAGTTAATAACCGGAGTAAATTGTCCGTTGGGTGGTATGATGGACAAAGAGAAGAAGGTTCAATTCCTGTCAGAGGCATAGATTTTTTTCTTTTTAATAGGACTTCTCAATTTAGGTCAGTTGTTATTA